AGCGCGAAACACGAATTGGTAAACAAGATGGCCTGTTATCGCAGCAAGTCGGTAAGTGCACTACTCATAGAAAATAACGTATACTATTTGATTACATCTTAAAAACCCATATGTAAATCAAACATTCTATAATACAGCTTGTTTTATTTGTGTTCAAGTGATGTTGTTGTTTTTTCGACCGTGACGCGTGAGCCGCTAGTTGCACAGTCTTCGATGGCGCTAAAACAATTAAAAAAACGAGTAAAGCTGTCGTAAACTGTCGTAAAATCGCACTGCCGCAAAATTTCCCCCACCCTGTGCGTGTCGTCACGCCCACGTGACCTACCCTGTGCGCGAAGGATCCTGGGAATGTTCACCTGGCGAATTGTAAAAAAATTTGACCCTATGCCCTAGACCCTGTGACCCTAGACCTTTGACCCTATGAACTCAGAGTCAAAGGTCATCGACATGACTGTCTGTAGGCATCTTGTTTAAAGTGCATGAATTTTATTACTGATAATGTCAAATTGTACCTCATAAATTAATGAAACTATTCATACTTTACGATGCCAAAAAATAGTCACAGGAACAATATTTATTCAAAATATTTTGGGGTCAGTTTCACCCCATACGGTAAGTTATGTTGCTTACCACTTCGCCTTTTATACATATTTGTGTTGATTGTTAGAACAAAGAAGAATGTCTTCAAGGGCATACAAAGACATGTATGACGACCATTTCAAGACTGCCCGAGAATATCTGGACTATTTCTACTCCAACATGTTGGGCGCGGATGTGGACGAAGGATTGGCGATGCCATGGATCTTTCATCAATTACACCAGACCTTTACTGGAGGTGTTCTATTTATTATTCTGTGTCCAAAATATCACCATATACAAGTCTTATATCTATGATGTTTATTCTATGGTTCTGATCCTTTTATGATGGGGTTTCATGGTGAGTTATTGACAATGAATTTAGCTTGAATATATTTCAAAACGATCTCTTGGCTTATGCTGAAAAAAACCAAAAGAGGTTCACAATGAGACATACACAAAACTCAAATTGTCAAACAGATAAACTGTTTTATAGAAGGATAAACGGATGAATTGTTTTTTTAAGATAGATAGATGGATACAAATAAAAGAAATAAAACCATTATATTAATGTCCTGGGGAAGTGAAGTCATCATTGATTACATTGTCCGTAATTAGTTGTTCCTTTGACTGATTTTTACTTGCAATAATTATTGTTGTCGCAGATTTTTACTTGTTGAAATTGTTGTCGCAGATTTTTATTTGTTGTAATTGTTGTCGCAGAATTTTACTTGTTGTAATTGCTGTCGCAGATTTTTACTTGTTGTAATGGATGTCGCAGATTTTTACTTGTTGTAATTGTTGTCGCAGATTTTTATTTGTCGTAATTGTCGCAGAATTTAATTGTTGTAATTGTTGTCGCAGGTTTTTATTTGTTGTAATTGTTGTCGCAGATTTTTATTTGTTGTAATTGTTGTCGCAGATTTTTGTTTGTTGTAATTGCTGTCGCAGATTTTTACTTGTTGTAATTGTTGTCGCAGATTTTTATTTGTCGTAATTGTCGCAGAATTTAATTGTTGTAATTGTTGTCGCAGGTTTTTATTTGTTGTAATTGTTGTCGCAGATTTTTATTTGTTGTAATTGTTGTCGCAGATTTTTGTTTGTTGTAATTGTTGTCGCAGATTTTTATTTGTTGTAATTGTTGTCGCAGATTTTTATTTGTTGTAATTGTTGTCGCAGAATTTAATTGTTGTAATTGTTGTCGCAGATTTTTATTTGTCGTAATTGTT